TCATCGTGTTTYTCTGGAACCAAACTGACACAGTCGGTGTTTCAACACAGAGGCTCCCAGTTGACACCAGGTTAGTAGCTGAAAATACTAGTAGTATATTGTCTTAGAGTCTTACAGCCACTAACCTGTTTTTTTCTGTGTCCAGTAAACCGGACCCACGCACCTGGGTTGTTCCAGCTCCACACCAGCAATTTTAATAAAATTTGTAAACCTTTATCTGTTTTYGGGTTTTTATCAGAGCTCAAACTCAAATTCCTAACAATATAAAGTAAATATTAGCCTACATTTTAAAGTTTCTCTTCTACTGTAGTTGCTTGAATCTGGAAAAAAATGAAGCCTAAATTATCTCTGATTAACCGACATAAAAAATGCCCTAATAAAGCCATTTAATTCAATTTTATGGTTGCAATTTTAAACAATTGTCAGTCACTGTGACATGCAGGGTTGCTCTCCTGCAGCTGAACYCAGATTTACTGCATTTATCCTCCAAAGGTGGGCGCTAATGTTTTATACCACTGAACAAATTATAATAAAATTGCAAACTTTTTGAATGCGCATGTACAGCTGATTTATAGAGTCAACACGATACAAAATGACCACCACAGATATACAAATGACTAAGCCGTTGGGAAGCAAAAAGCGTGTGCAGAAAATGCAAGATTGTGTGATAAATGTGGAAKGCTGCGGAGCCAGTGTAAAAGTGTAAATACCCTTAATGATTATATTGGTTGCGTAATTGAGGGTGGAGCAGAGCAAAGTGGAGCAGAGCCACATCCAGGGTAGATTAGGGGTAACTCTTGAAGAAATGTTTTGGGGTTTAGGTTATACAGTATATTGATTTTTGATTACCGTACAYTCACATGGTATAGTCTTATAGAACTGTAAAGATTGTTAAATGTGACTGTTTTGCTTAACTTGATTTTATATAGATACATGCCTGAAAACATATTCAACACATAACTGAACTTTTAAATCTTAAGCTGGATTATGAGTCTGGAGACGTGGCTCCGAGCAGCGTAGGGATCTCTTGCCGATGATGTAATCAAATAGGCAGAGCCATGTCTCGGAGCCTGGGTCAAATTCAATTGTCTTCCTGGTTTTTCAGTCTGAACACTTGGTCATTAAAACAGTCTTCAGAAGAACGCTCTGGGTTTTGTATGATCTCTCTTTATTAATCTTTTCCATGCATTGGTACATTCTCCGTATGGTTCAAGCACACAAACTGGTAAACGAAYACACATGACCAGGGGTGCCCAAACATTTTCCCCGAGGGGGACAAAAGGAAACGCTATCCATGGCTGTGGGCCAAATGCAGTTATATAATACATGAAATGCAAATACTTTTTAAGTAAAGTCCTTTATTTTTAACCATTAAGCTGTGCAATGGCCCTCTTTTATTTTAGTCTGTGCACTTGGAGAAAGTCTGCCATACGCTCAAGTAGCAAACGCTCATGGGACATTTCATAAATTGMTAAAATATGAGTTTTTGTGGCCTTATAAAGTGTGCAAATCTACATGCGGGGTTAAATCTGATCTAAATATTTCTTGTCATTTAATATTTCTTGTTAATCCTAATAAATCAAAGACATGACCTTCACTACAGCCCTTTTATATAGTCATTTGACCAATAGAAATACTGTGTTTCTACCTAAAGGATAACAGGTTACAACTTTGTAACTTTGGCAACTATTGGTGAGCCAAATCAAATGGCTTGGCGGGCCAAATTTGGCCCGCGGGCCCCACTTTGGGCTCCTCTGCACATGACAATATTTTTTTTCACTCTGACTTTAACAGATATCGAGCTAAAGTTTAGTGTGGTAATAATAGGGCTGTATATTGGCAGGATATCATGAAAAAGGCTTCACAATACATCACAATAAATTGCAATACTGTAAACAAGATGATATATTTCCAATTTTTCCATTCATTATGTACACAAAATCTGATTATTTCAGTTTATTTTTACGTAATCAGAAAAATACTGTATTTGTAGCTCACAATTCCTCTTGCAACWTCCATACATTAAGCATTAATTAAAAATCAATACAGTATCAGGATATTAAATGATATTTCAGTGTATCGATATTTTCTTACACCCTTTAGGTAGCAGCTGAAAGCTTTGTAAAGCACATGCTCCAAGTACTATCAGATCATGTAAGACATTTAGTACTGCATCAGATGGCGCATAATGTTTTCACATTTTCACCAAAACGTCTGCAACTTTATATTTTCTCAACATCTTCATCTAAAACTCCGGCACAAACATTTGAACCAAATAAAATGCAAAGTGACACTAATCAGATCTGCGCTGTAAATAAATCTGCCTTTGATTTAGATCCGCCTCCTTCTTGTCGCGCCCACACACATGAATTTATCATACATGCACATAAATTAGCCCGTGTATAAAAAAAAACACCCCATTCCCCTAAGACACCTTCTGAGTCTAAACACATCTACAGCCAGAGATCAYCCACTCCAGCACATATACAGTTCAACAGAGACGAGCTGAGCTCCAGCCTGTGACTAACGCAGCATCTGTTTGCCTCTTTGCTCCGCCAGTGATGAGAGAATAGTGGATTCATAGTTTTCTTATTTTGGTCCATGAGTCATCTCTACGCTCAGTATTTGTGGACTCATGTTTTTTTTATTTTACATAATATGATTTCAGGACCGTCRTTCTTCCACAGTCCTGGTAGTGATTTTGTTGTTGTCAGATCTGTCCAGAACGAGCAGAGCAGTTATTTACTTTCAACTGAGGTCAAATATCCAATAACCGTCTCAGAGGGAGCAGTGAAGCGGTTTGTGTGGCAGGCTGAGAGGGCATTTAAGGCCCTATTTTTCCTGTGAGAGATGACTGAAGGCGTTCAAAAGGTTTTTTTTTTCCCCCTGAAATCTCTTTTCCATAGCTGCGTTTCAGTTTCAGGGTTTTATCAGGTCAATTTTCAAACCTATTTTCTGTCTGTCTCTTAAAGCAGAGGTGTCGCTAGAATCAGGAAACAATGTGGGGTTTAACYCTGCCTGGAAATATTTGGGTATTCACTAGGGCAGTGAAATTACTCGAGTTAACTCATATTGATTAATTTTAGTGCTGGGCATAGATTAAAAATTTTAATCGCGATTAATCACAATTAAAATTTACAATCACTTGGCTGAATATGTAGGTTTGTATGTTGCAATGCACTCAGTGCATGCCAGGTCATGTTTGTAAATGAGAAGTGGTTCTCAAACTGTTTACCTGGATAAATAAAGGTTAAATAAATACAATTTAAAAAAACTCCACGTGTAACACATTATGTACAGTTTTTTTTCTTTTTGTCTTCTTATGGCTTATTTTATTTTATTTATGTTTTGCTGACAACTGTGACCTTAGTATCTATCTTTCATTCCTCATGTAGTACTCATTTAGAACGAAAATCCTTGAACCATTATTCTGCACAAAATTTAACTAACTCAAATATGTTTGGAGCATTTTTAGGTCCTGTTTTATATTCAAAAAATCATGTCTAAGCATCAATTTTGTTTTCCAAATAAAACATTAAAAACGAACTCAAGTAATTTATTTTATCAATGTGCAATAGAAATGTATATTAAAGACTAATCGTGATTAATTCACAGCTATGTCGTAATTTTTTCATCTTTAGACAGCCCTATAAAAAACACAAACTCACTTTGTTCTTGATCCTCAGAGTATCTGATAACTCGTCTTCCACAATGTTCACCTGANGAATAGTTCAGATATTTCAAAGTGGATCTTTGGGAAAGAACCTGTATGAAAGATTCTCCCTTTTATTTGGTGAATTTAGTGTTTCTAAACCAAAACTTGACCGTTTTTGTTTGTTTCCACAGTATGTCTACATTTGTCACTTATTCCTCTGTGCTAGTGAAAGAAAAAAAAAAACTACAACTGATAAATGAAAGCTTTGCCTCCCACACAGTGTCCGCGGTGAGACGTGTCAACTTCTGTGCCGATCCGAGGGCTGATTTGAGCTTCACAGCATGTGTCATAATGTGCCTGATAAGACGCTGAAAAATGAAACTCGGAGGAAAGAAAAGAAGGTCTTAAAGATTCAGTTTGTCAGCTCTCTGTCTTCTCTCCACATCCAGTCTCTAATCTGTCGCCGCTTTGGTTTGTTGGTACACTCCTTCTCTTCTTCCGCCTCGTTTCAGGCAGGTCTGCAGCAACATTAAGATGATCTTGGGATGAAAAGCTGTTTTTTATAATGCAGGAACTGTGCTTTTATTTCAGCTTTTTTTTGGCTCAGTTGTTGATTCAGTTTGGTTCTGTGAAAAGAAATCTGACTAATGGGAGGTTTAAGGATGCGAGAGAGTAGAAAATATAAACTAAGACTCAAAATTCTTTATTTTTTTTCCTCTTAGTGGCAAAAGTTGAACCATTTTTCAAGTCAAAGTTAAAAAGACACACAGGGTCAACTAGATTTCTGGATGTAATTTAAAATTTGAATGATGAAAAAATGTTTTTTTTGTTTTGTTTTATAGCTGGAGAAATCAGTTCTGCCTTTTTTCATTTAAAAAATTCTTTAAACACCCAGGCGACCAAAGTGTTGAACACATAATACAACAACTGTTCACTTATACAATCAGTCAAAAATTACATAAAAACAAATTAAAAGTCAACATTAAAATTGTGTTAAAGGCCAGGGAGAAGAGATTCAAATTGACATCCAAGGGAAGGTTATTCCATAATTTAGGAGCTGCCTCGCTTCGTCTGCCTAAACCTGAACAGATTTGGACCAGTTTTATCAGAGTGATCAGGTCTGGACWTTCAGAGCACTTGACCTTCAATTCACCTAGAACTCCAAATAGCTCTGACAAAATGACAGTGGGTGGATAAAAACGAACTGAGGACAAAACATGCAATGTCTTCAGAACTCAGAATTAAATAAACCATCTAAAACGGTGCTCCTGCCAACAGGTTCTTCATATTCAAGCATCAAATAACCCTCCGAACATGAAGAATCCAGACATTAACGTCTTCTTACCTTCTTTGTTTTGTCCATCGCCTTTAACACGGACATGTTCAGGTCTTCCAAAGCTGCCAGGACGTTCTCGTATTCACCAAGGTGCTGGGAGAAATACTCTTTAAAAATGCAGGAGAAAAGAAAGTCACCTGAATGATCAACGAAATTTAAAATTTACTTTAAGTTTGAAGACTGAGCTTACCACAGAGCTCATCAGTGTCCACATTGCTGAAAAAACAACAAAACAAAAGAGATTTAAGTTAAAACAATCTGTCTTGCTTTTAAAGTTAAAATTAAGTAAATTTAGTTCTTAATAAAATAAAATAAAATAAAATAAAATAATGCACCAACACTGGATGAATCAGAGCATTAGGCCAAATTCAGCAGAGCAGAATGCTTTAAATTTATTTCTGAGGCTAAAGAGAGGAAACTGTGATTTAAGGAGGTCGGAGTGTGAATGTGTGTGTCTGGAAGAGACAAAAGCAATCTCAGTGAGTTATCATTCAGATGCCTTTCACACAAACACAAATTGTTATAAAGTTTGGGGATTTTTGCTGATTCCAATAGATTTAAGTAGTTTATCTCTCGAGGACAAACACAAGTTGTTTCTGATGTTTCTTCAATTTATTTACACTTAAAATATGTTCACCTTTCTAAGCCTTACTTGAAAAAAAAAAAGCTATTTCCAGCAGTTCTACTGTGTCTATTTTTAAAAGTAGAAGTATTGAATTTTTAGTGTTGCAGATGAATCGCAGGACATTCTCCTGCAGATCCTACAGCATCGTGACTCGTTATTTAATCAATGCGAGAGCCAATCTGAGACTTTTTACGCTGCTTTCTAACAGCTTCACCCTCTGCTTCTCGCTGTTTTCACTGCAGAACTGGCACAAATTCAAGGTTTTTATAAGAAGAGTTTGATTTAAAAAAAAGGAGGAAGAGTATTTGAGGAAAAGGGTGTTTGTGTCTTTAAATAACATTATAATGTAACACTGTGTTAAATAACAACTCTATTGGTTTTTCATAAATTTAAGTTTTATGAACAAATGGGGAGAATGAAGGGGGCAAAAGGTTTGACATTTCTATGTTGCTGGGATTTCAAACTGTTATTAACATTAAGAAGCACCTGAAACTCTGAGGAGTCAGCAAACAAACTGAGCTGTTAGTCCTTCACTTCACATTACAGTAAATTAACCAGTAAATTAACGACCATTTATGAGCGAGCAGCAAAATGTGCCCTTAAATCCTAATAGAAACACAGTAATTATGTTGATTAAAATGAAACCATGTAAATAAATCTTAATAMGCTGTTTTATTCTTATTATTATATTTATGTGTTATTCATCACCTTTGCTTTGGCGGTTAAACAGCATATTAAATAGTAATATATCAAAAAACATTACATAATTTATTAACGCAGTCATGTAATTAATTAATATAAGATGTGGATCTAAAGATTTTCACCATCAGTGTAACAGTTGATGCTCTTCATTCCAGGCTTTTTCTGCTTCAAAGCAATAATTTGTTTTCAGAACAACTGTGTGTCTTGACAGAAAATACTGTTTTCAGATGATAAATAATCAAGTAATCGTCACTGCAGCTGTCATTTTTATTGATGGGAACAATTATTTTACTGCAGCGATCAATTTATATTTATATACAGATCAAGACACAGTTTAGTAAAAACAAAATAAAAATTTGAGCCTTGCCAAATGGTAAATGTAAAAAGTTACAACTCTGTTTTGCTTCGACAGAGTCCCCTCTAATTTGAGATCTGATATTTAATCTGGTTTTATACTTCTGTGTAAGGAGCAAACACATTTAAATCTACATTAATCACTTGTAGAAGTACATCCAGTGATTATCTCTTGAACGTTTCAGTAAAATCATAAAATATTTTCTCCAAATCATTCTTATTGTCTGCCAGCACTAAAGAAGCAGTGACTGGACTCACTCTGTGTTATGGGTGTCGATGGTGTGGAAGAGCTCCTTCAGTTCTTCAGCTGTCAGGACTCCRTCAGAGAAATAGGATTTAAACTCATCGAAGGACAACTTTCCATCATCTGGGGACAAAGAGACAAATCTTCTCAAAGCAGAATCAGGAAAAGACTTTTTGTAACTAAATACAAAGTGAGCAAACTATTTTAACCTTCTTGAAAGCAATGTTAGATCTACTGGGGTGAAAAAGTTATGAACAAAGAATATCTTACTTGCTTTAGGTAACTCTTTGAACAACCTCTGTTTGGACAAATCAACTTTAAAATATTAACTCAGTATTTTTATTGTTTTTTTTACCAGAATAGCCTCTTGAGCAATAAATCACCAGGAAATCTTTTTTTCCTTCCTTCATTTTTTTTACATTGTCCTTATAATGACAAGATTTTTAGTAATATCTCCAGATATTTCTTAGCCTTGAAAATGTATTTACACATTATTTACAAAACAGTGATAGAACTAGTCAAGAGAAGAATTGGCATCAAAAAAACATAAAAGAAGACCATCTAAGGGAGCTCAGAGGTCCAAACCCAAAATGGACAGACGCTGCCATWAAGGAGACATATCATGCTTTTAAAYCCTTCTTTTCCACATTTAAATCATTCAATCAGGATCTATATAAAGTGGAACTCCAATACTTTGATCTGAATTCCTTATTGTAACGCTACTTATTCTGAGATGTGTCTCAGATCAACTCATTTTGAGGCTGTCTCTTTAAAAGCAATTTTAGTTTGACAGCAGAAGTACGATTATCTGACAGCACTGAAATGTTTTATTTACAAATCAATTAAAAGATGTCAGCAACTGAAGACTTGATTATCCAGTCTTATATGTTGGAGCCAGTCTGACCCAGAGCCAGAGGAGAAGGAMGATGCAGCAAATATTGATGTTATTGTTCAAAATAAGTAACTGGGAAAAACTGATCGGACTGAAAAATATGACCCAAACAGAGTTTAAAGATATCTTTGCWGCACCAGAAGACTAAATGCAACTTTTCTGCACAAAGAGACAACAAAACGTATTTAAAGGCTAAAAAAGTGGATATCCCCTTTAAAACATTTATAATGTCCAAGGATTTATTACAWGTCATGCAAATGATACTTAAGAAACTTTAACATCACTGTCAGTTTCAAATTACACAGATATTTACATAGATGCTGATGGGTATTTAAAGAGGAAACAGCAGCAGTTAGCTGTAACACTTTTGGTGCAGCCTGAGAGACTTAATACTTGCAGGAAAGGCTGACAAAATAACTGTCAKTGTGTAAAGGCTTTTAAGAAATTTTATAATCAGAGTTGCAGAAATCCACTCTCTGCTCCTCAAACTGAGGTCGTTAGGGAGCTATCCACTGCAGGTAAGACATTAGCTGTTCACAGCCTTCCCACAGAACCCCACTTAAAACCACAGGGACCAAGCTGATGAAAGAATGGTCCAAATGTTCACGGTGAAGAAGCTGCAGGGAAAAACGTTTTGTTTTGATGATTCCAGCAGACAGCGTTGTGTTCACTTCACACAGGGTCATCAGCGTCTCCTGCTTCCACTCGTGTGAAAGCAATCAAACAATCAGCGACTGCCTCAGGCTGCACTATGAGCAGAGTAAAATATTCATGAGGAGAAAAAAAATAACAGAAAATAACTTACAAGGAACAACGAACAGTTTGTGGACAAACACACAGAGCAAAGCCCGGCAGCTTTGTTTTAGCGGCTGATCTTTAGCTGTTATCTGCCGAACCTGCTGTGAAGATGATGTTCAGCRCCACTGTCATGTTGCTATAGATGCAGCGAACACGTTGCCGGAACATACGGTGACTCACGGAGCTGTGAGCTTAGAAATAAGCTTGGCTCGGCGTGCAAATGCTGCTGTTGGTGCAAAGAGGAGAACAAACACGTGGGGAGAACTCCTGCTGCATGACAACCCCTTCAACATTAATTTCACTAAATATAAATCTGATGTTTTTAAGGTCACCTGACTGATGTGTTTGGCTCCAAAAGTGAACCTTTTGTGAATTCTGAATGTAAAGCCTCAAATAATTAACTATTTTTTATCATAATAATAATATCCTGACCAGAACCAGAAGATCCAGAATCCCAACTGGTTCCTCTGAGCCCGTTCATGTTGGACGCTGAAGCAGAAAATCCAATAAAAACTTTAATTCTTTTAAGAACTAATGTCAGCTGAAGAGAAGAGGGACCATCTGGTCTGTTTTCTCCAAACAATTCAAAAGCCAGCATTCATGAGGGCCGCTGCACATCTGCGAGGCCGCCCTGGCTGAATGATGTGCGCAGCTTTTTGCAGCAGCATGTTCTGCCATGCAGCTGAGACAGATAAAAAATATTTWAAAAAAACATCGCAGCCACTTCAGTTTCATTCAGACTGTTAAAGGAGAGATGATGCAACAGGGTGGTAAACGTTTTTCTGGTTTCAGTGACTAATATTCAGTTTTTGTCTTTCTGTTGTGCTGCAAGACACGCTGCGGCTTCCTGTAAGGAGTAAATGCAGCTTTTTATTTTACATCTTTAGAAAAAGAAGAAAGACCACATGAAGAATTTCCTCCTGCTTTGCTGTGATCTCTTATTTTAGGTGTTCATTTTGCAACCTGCATGGATGCATTCGACTTCTTTGAGTTCCTACTTGAGGAGTTCATCGCCCGCACATTTTCCAGATCTCAGTCTGTGCACTTTAAGCCCCCCGACTGAGTGGCTGTTTGAGGATTCTGGACTGAAATAAGATGAAATAAAACATGGCCTGTTGAGTAGTCAGCAGTGTTTTCAGTAACCAACAAATCCTCTGTCCTTATCAAATTATTAACCAACGTTTGTGACCACAGGTGAAGGTGGTCTTTGATAATATAATTTTTGCTTATTTAAAACATTCATGTGTGACAAAAGAGCAAAAACAGAAGAATTTTTTCTAAATTTTGTTAAATTGAAAAAGTTTTTTTTTCAGGTAGTGGGGGTGGTCTCATAGGTGGCCCAGATGGAAGTCACCAATGGGCCAAATGTGGCCTGAGGGCCACCAGTTGAATGGTTCTGCTATATAGATATAAAAGCCTTTTATTTAAAACTGGAGCGCCACTGAGTTGCTTTCAACTCTTTTATTTGATTTTTTCTTTGTGCTTTGTTATTTTTGTCTGTTTTATCAAAAAACCACATGAAAGAGTTTAAAATAAAAAAAGCAAACTGTGCCTCCAACCTCCAGCTAATCAGCTCCAAGGACTACCGTGATAAGAGCAATTTGTCAGATTTGTTTTTGTTTTTCCTCATTGATGCTCAGAAACAGGACCTAGACGGGCATGGTCAGTTTCCTGTTTCCATGGAAACTGACAGACTATCAGCAGAGAGTCATGATCGGAATTTCATTGAGAAAGTATCTCTGCGCTCAAACACCAGAAACCAGGGTTGAAGTGATACTTGAACAAGCGAGCAAGCGAGTGTTTGTTGTTGTTGGTGGAACGTACCGTTTTTGTCCGCCCTCCGCAGAATCTGTAACCAGAACAGAAGAGAAGGATGTCAAATAAAAAATAAATTAAAATAAGATGACGCTTCATCAAAGTTAAAGTGAGTGTGTGAGGGACTCATTGATCACGCTTGCAAAAGTGGTGTGGTGTTGAATTATTGATGGTTCTGTCCCAGAGTCCAGGGCAGATGAAAGAGAGGCTGGCTACCACCACATCAGCTTTAAAACTGCTCAAACTTAATTAAAAATGCCTTCACCCACTTTTCCTTCAGGTCAACTTTTTACATGTAGATCTACACATGCAAGACATTTCTAATTAAAGGAAAAATATTCTTAAAGTGYTCTATATATCTCTGATTAAAACATTTTCATAAAATAATTAGGTTATTCTGTCACAATAGACCATCTACGGCAGTGGTTCCCAACCTTTTTAGACTTGTGCACCCCTGAGCCATATTGTCATAGCACTAGTACCCCTTCAGTGAAACATAATGATGATTCTCTAAAACTATAATGTACTACAACTCATTAGTAAATGAAAACTATTTATTTAACCTCCTTGAACTTTCAATTCTCAGGAATTTTATTTTTTTTCAACTCAATTTAAACATAAAGATGTTTGACAAACATAATGATGTTGCCTTGAAAGTGAATAAGTAATTAAATAAATAAACCAGGTAATGGCAGGTGCAGAAAACAGCAGCGTCCAAAATACATTGTATTGTCCAAAATGAGCAAATTCTGTGAGATTCCACATTTTATACTGGATTTCATTTTGTGTTAATTCTGTGTTTCTGTCTGCAATTTTTGCTTTGCAGAAATCATAGGGTCCTACATATCTCAGTCCTATTTTTATTTATTTATTTTTACACACCTGGAAAATTATTCCATGTACCCCCTGCAAAATGCTCGCATACCCCTGGTTGAGAATCACTGCTTTAGACAGTGTGGAGGGCTGGAGGAACTGTCCATGGTCCTGAAAGTGCTGGAATGTTTCAGGACTTCGGACAGTGCAAAGGGCTGAAGGAACTGTCCATGGTCCTGAAGGTGCTTGAATGTTTCAGGACTTTAGACAGTGTGAAGGGCTGGAGGAACTGTCTAAGGTACTGAAAAAGCTGGAATGTTTCAGGACTTTAGACAATGTAAAGGGCTGGAGGAACTGTCCAAGGTCCTGAAGGTGCTGGAATGTTTCAGGACTTTGGACAGTGCAAAGGGCTGGAGGAACTGTCCATGGTCCTGAAGGTGCTTGAATGTTTCAGGACTTTAGACAGTGTGAAGGGCTGGAGGAACTGTCTAAGGTACTGAAAAAGCTGGAATGTTTCAGGACTTTAGACAATGTAAAGGGCTGGAGGAACTGTCCAAGGTCCTGAAGGTGCTGGAATGTTTCAGGACTTCAGACAGTGTGCAGGATTAAAGGAACTGTCCAAGGTCCTGAAGGTGCTGGAATGTTTCAGGACTTTAGACAGTGTAAAGGCCTGGAGAAACTGTCCATGGTCAATAATGGTCAGAACAATAATGTAGAAAAATAATCTGTCATTATTGGGGCATTGAAATGACAAATTGATGCTTTCAGTTGCCTTTAAATATAGACTGATTGCTTTTCAGACTAATAAATTTGATTGATTCACTGTTAGACAAAAATAAATCATTTTAGAAATGCCTCAAGATTTTTTTTAAATATATGAATGGTTATGATAATATACCATGATTAATTGGAAAGATTTTAATTAAACTTGCGAGAAATAATCAATCCAATTCAAGATGACCGCCACAGGTATCTGACATTAGCTAACACAATCTTGGCTATAACTCAAACAATTTTGAAAAGACTGAGCTTAGAGTGGGACATTTTACTTGAGATCAGGTTAACGTTATTATCAAGAATTGACCAAAATGCCCTTCTGGAAACAGGCATTTAATTTAAAATATTCTGTATTTTTAATTGTTGCTAAAATGTGTTAATCCACAAATACTGTGAAAGAACTTGGGTAGATTACACTCATTGGCAGATACACCATATGAATCAGTCTTATTCATCCAACTAATGAAAACATGAACCAGATTAGAAACACATTAGTACCTTTTAACTTCTAATCAAATTTGAGGCCATAATAAAAGCATTAAGTGCTGAAGTGTTTTTGTAGACATGTTTCAGCTCTGTCAATCAGCACATCTCAGAAAGTGTCCTATTTTTCCCTCGCTGTCTCTCAGAGGATATACAGTTTGTCACTATAGTGACACATTTGCTTTGAAACACAAATAACTTGTAGTTATTTACATCAACAGCCAGCATTTCCCTCACACACCAAAGGAGGTCAACAGATTTTTTTTTTTTTTTTTTGTAGAAGAAGGCATCACAGGTTAGTCAAATCCTGGATGAATGTGTGAAATACACTGAGGTGATGAAGAAAATCTGCTCACATTTGAATTTTTAATTCCATATCATGTTGCTGGAATCTCTAAAATAAAGATTTTAATCTCATAGGCATAAAAAAATCAAAGTTTTGAATGTATTGATTTTGTTTTTATTTAATTAGAGCGAGTCTGACTTAAATTAAATCAAGACTATTTCTACATGTTTATTAACTTAATGACTTGGTGTGAACTGCCTTTTAAAGACCCTTTTAACCCAATTGCGCAGTAAAGGGCAGCCCTGTCAAATTAATTAATTTGATTAAAATGGAAGATTTCACACAGAGAGTAACAAGTCTGAAGAGTATTACGTGTGTGAATATTTTAAAATACACATTTTAAATTATTTTTAGCTGATTTATTCTGCAGATTATGCCGCAAAAATGTAAATAATTGAAAAAAACAACACCAAGAGATTTCAAATTGTTGCAGTTTACAGATTTAAATGTTAAAAGACATCAATTACTTACATCAATAAAAATGGACATTCCCTTTTTGAGCTCCATCTGAGAGCTGGGCTCCTCAGACACGGGCTGAACCTCCTCTGAACAATCCATCATTTACTGCGATGCTTCAGGACTGTGTCCGACTCTGTTCACTGATCTCTGAGGCTGCTGAAAGAAAGAAAAAAACACGAGTCTGACCTGCTGTCAAGAGAAACAAAATCTGTCATAATTTCCGTCCGGAAGTGCCAATCATTGTCATTTTAGTTAATTTGTTTTAAAGCGTAACACTGCCTTTAGTTTTTATTTTAAGCCACAAAAAGGATATTACTAGTCCACATTAGTTTTAATTGAGTTTTGTCTATTTAGTCCCGCACAATGCAACGCTTGTTTCGTGAAGTGCGCTTTTATTTTGAAGTACTTCCGGTGCCTGGATCCTTGCTTATTTCCGCTGGTCCGAGCGTCTTGCCATCTGTTTTAAACTTTAAAATTAATTTGTAGAGCACTAGTTTATAAACTTTAATTCATACTATACTAATAAAATACAACATTTGTCGCAGCTATTATTTAAAAAATGAATAAATTGTAATTTGTTTAAAAAGGTAACTGCAGCCAACTGAGCAGCACAAATTTGCCAGGACAGGGCTGCTATATTTAGCAAAGTTTTTGTTGAGGGGACAAAAACCTTAGAATAGGTCGACTTAGCTCGAATAAAACGATGTTCTTAGACATTCCTCCCTTTCGAGCATGTGTTTTAAATGTAAACTCAATAAATAGAGGCAATATTTAAAAGGCTAATTCAATTTGAAGACGCCTTAAAAAAGATGCCTAGTACTTTATTATTGTTTTAAAGTTACAATTTTCCATTTTGACCACATGGCAGTTATTAACAATTTACACTGCAGTTACGAGGGGAAAATGGGATAAATGTTTGACATTTACTTAAAAAATACTACGTATGCCTTATTATTTGCAAAAAAAGAGTATGATTTCAAGTACGACAATCTAAGTAAACGGGGAGTGTGGTAAAGAGGTCAAGTGAAGATAAAAGTTCTGGTTGGATGGAGAAAAGTTTCAGGAGCGCTGAGAAAGGCAGAGCAGGTTCATGAAAATCAAAACAACGCAACAGCCCCATCTAGCGGTGATATTTGAGAAGACACGATTATAGCGCGCTTCAGTTAAAACTTGAAATGAACTATTTTGAACATAAAATTTAATTTAAAAATGTGAAGTAATAGAGGATTAAAGCTAATTAGCATAAAGACTCGTACTTTAGGGGGAACARCAAGGTTTGTAAAAACGACCAACTGTCAACTAGAAAAGCTCATGTATGTTTCAGTCCCTTTATATTTTCCATTAAGAAAAAGATTCAAAGATTCAAAGTGTTTATTGTCATATGCACAGATGAAAAACATGTTTCCCTGAGCAATGAAATTCTTACTTTGTCGTCCATTAYTGAATGCCGAGAGATAACCACATTAAAGAAAGAAACGAATCATCACCGAAAGGACACAAATGTTGATTAGATAAAAAGAAGAGACTAAGCTAACATCAGAAGGGAACAATATAATAATGACAACAAGAAGGAAACTGTACAATCAGTTTTTAAAGTGTAATGTACAAATGTGCAACTGGTAACAGTCTGAAATGTGCACGTGTGCAATAATAATAATCATGTCACGTTCAGTTGTTTAAGAGTCTGATGGCACTTGGGAAAACTGAGTTTTGTATCTGGAGTTTCTGCATGTCACAYTGCTGTACCTCCGGCCGGAGGTATGAATAGTCCACGCTGGGGATGGGTTGGGTCTTTGATGATTGAGGCTGCTCTCCTGAGGGCCCTGCAGTGGTAGATGCTCTGCAGAGAGGCAGTGAAGTCCCTGTGATCATCTCAGCAGTTTGTACCACTCTCTGCAGGCGTCTGGGCCATAGTGTATCATAGTGTACCAGGCTGTGATGCAGCTGGTCAAGATGCTTTCTACAGTGCAGCTGTAAAAGTTCCTGAGGATCCTTGTCGACATGCCAAACTTCCTTAAGTCTCCTCAGAAAGTAAAGTCTCTGTTGAGCTTTCTTGACCAGCTGTGTTATGTTCTCAGTCCAGGTCAGGTTTTCATTGAGGATGCCCGGATATTTAAAGCTGCTCACTCTCTCAATCTTGAGGTCTCCGATGTGCAGTGGTCGGTGCGGCCTCTTTTCCTTCCTCATGTCCACTAYCAGCTCCTTCGTTTTGTCGGTGTTGAAGGTGATGTTGTTGTCCTCACACCACGACACCAGGCCGGCCACCTCCCTCCTGTAAGCTGCTTCATCCTCCCCAGTGATGCGTCCTATCACTGCGGTGTCATCAGCGAACTTCAGGATCATGTTGTTCTCATGGGAGGCAGCACAGTCGTGAGTGGACAGGGTGTAGAGGATTGGGCTTAGGACACACCCCTGTGGTGTTCCAGTGTTTGTGATGATTGTGGAGGAGGTCCTGTTCCCTATCCTGACTGTTTGAGTCATATGCTTTGGAGATTAATAAATATATGAGATACACTTGTGTTTGAATTTATTAAATAATAAGAACTGATGTTTTATAGTGTGCCTATAGTAGGAGTCTTACTTTAAAGTAACCATAGTTTTTCGTGGAGATACAGTATATTAATTAAGAAGAAGTTTACAGCTAGGTCACAGATTCAACAGCGTCCACAGATGTTGCTGACAGGAAACGTCACAAGCTTGAAGCATAGATTTGATTAGACAACAGAAAAAGGTGTGTAAAGTGAGTCCAGTGGGCATGACACATTTATGACAAGTTCTTTATGACACAATTTGATATGATATAATGACACATACCACAAGGAGGAAATACTCTTTGAATCAGCAACATAAAATATTAGTTCAAAGAAAACTCATTTCAATCTCAGCCATACAACTTTAAATGACAAACTTTTTTTTTTACTTGAGAAAATTTGTTGACATTGACATCTTTAACACCCCACCAAAAAAAATGTCTTGGAAGACATAACCACATAACTGAGAACAATTGCCAAAAAACACAGAGATATTGAGAAATGTTTTAAGATTAAGTGTTTTTAAGACTTCAATTTTGACTTTTATTTCATTGTTATTGTCCTGGATTCTAAAGCGTCACAATTTGTTCCACATTTTAAATTCAGAAAATTAATAAGATGTGATTTAAGTTGAATACCTACTGGATAAAAGCGTRATTAATTCATTTTTGTGGGTTAGTAACAGAGCCTAGCAAACAAATTCAAGATAAATGCGTGTGCTTGRAATCCCGCAGAATCTCGCGAGGCTAGTCGCAGCTCTCTGATTGGTTGAAAACGTCAAGCGGTCGCTCGTGTGTTGAGGTTACTTGGCATTCTGGGACACAAACACTGGTTGGGAATAAAAGCGACATCAACAGCGGCACGGTCCACCGTGGAGGGGAGGCGACGACACAAACAAGCGTTGACGAGGAGGAGAAGCTGCTTTTCTACGCCCGGTTTATGGCTCGTGTTCGTTGCTTTGGGGTTCGGGAGAAGCGGCGCTGAGGGCCAACTGAGTGCGGCTCTTTTTTTTWAGTCAGTGGACTTCATCCACGAAACGATCTCTGTTTAGCCAACGAAGGTAGTAAGTTAGCCTCGCACTGATTTATGCTAGTGTTTTGGCTTGGATGGAAACGCTGTTTCTCGTCTTTTAATTCGCTCACAGATCGTCTTTTATCGGTCTTGGCAGCTTTTTCTGTCATTTCAATCAGCCTCGTCTGGATGACAGCTCTGAATATGGCGAGTGGTAAAGACAGCGACAGCAAAACTTGCACTTTGAAGTCACTGGACTGCCGTATCACCCAACTAGTTTACCCAAGATAAACATTACCACACTGGATAAATCAAAAACAATGGCCAAGAACTTACTTGATCTTTATGGTTCGTGTGTGCTGTTAAGTTGAGCAGCACCGCAATGGATCACTGCTGAAACTATTATTTAAAGCTTATAAACATTTTTCTCTTAACAGATCCTCTCTGTTGGGCTGTCTGGAAACCAGCACAGCTGCCTCCAGGTCATTTGAGCCCTTCTGCTTGGTCCCCAGAGCTTCCTTGAGGGTCACSATGTCAGTGTCAGGGGCCACAGCCGTGCAGCTGTTCACCAAGCTTGTGAAGCATGCAGTGGGCAAGACACAGATCCATCTGAACCGCTGGCTGCAGAGGACTGCCACGGATGACTGTGACAAAATCGACATCCTGATATGCAACGCTTTCGATGAGAGAGGCGCTGGTGCTGGGAAGTCAGACGGGGACCCTGAGCTGATCGCCGACACCGGAGGGGCGACCTTCACCAGCACTGGTGGAGAATTCAGACACCCCTGTTGCATCAGCACCTTCTGCTTCAAGAGCGCCCTGCTGGCCTGCATCCTGACCGCTGTGTGCTTCTCCTCAGTCGCCCTGGTGCGACAGTACCTCAAGGACCTCCTGCTCTGGGTGGAGAGCCTGGACAGCTTGGTGGGAGCCATGCTCTTCATAGTGGGTTTGATTATCGTGTCATTTCCATGTGGATGGGGGTATATCGTGCTCAACGTGGCAGCTGGGTATCTCTACGGCTTTGTGCTGGGCATGGGGCTGGTTATGGTGGGAGTTTTAATAGGGACGTTTGTGGCTCACCTGGTGTGCAAAAGATTGTTGAGTGACTGGGTGCTGAGCAAAGTTGGGAACAGTGACCAGCTCAGTGCTGTTATACGAGTGGTGGAAGGAGGAAGTGGACTCAAAATTGTGGCCTTAGCAAGACTCACCCCAATACCGTTTGGGCTTCAAAATGCAGTTTTTTCGGTGAGTATGAAAACACTATCACCAGAGTCACCTTTTCCTAAAAAAAAAAACAAAAAAAAACATCCTTGTTGGTTTAATAGAAAGGTCACAGCTGTGGACTCGCCYGGAGGAGAGCTCATTGTCTCCAGAACAAATCATTTCTGCTTCTGACAATTAAATCTCTGACCTTCTTTGTTTCAGGAAAAAAAAAAGTTWAATTCATTTTTTGCAAGGCCAGCTGACGCTCAGGGGAAATCAGAACATAGAAACAGCCACAACCTTTTTTAACATTGAGAAACTTTGGTCATCGAATGTAGTAGTTCTCATGTCATTTAATACTCGAGGCAGACCTCAGTCTGTGTGCAGAAGTGAAGAAATATAAAGCCAGTCTCCAGGGGGAATGGAGGACGTATTCCAATAAAACAAGCCAGATCATCAGTTTCTCATTTCAAAACGTATTTCCTGTTTTAGATATCTGAGCCGATGTCAGTTCTGAACATGTAGGGAAAATGATGAAACATGTTTGATCAGGTTGAATGATTAAAAGAAGCGGTGCCAAGATATAATTTTTTTCTTTTGCCCTCCAACATTTAACCTGAGGCTTTGACCTTCATATGTCGCATGAATAATTTATGACCGCTCTCAACTCATTGATACCTAGATACTGTAAAAAAAAAAAAAGTTGGCGTATCTGTTACTGGGTTGAAGAATACTAGCTGGTTGGTCACTTTTTATATTTTACCATTTTCACACAGAAWATTGACATTTTTAAAAGCTAAACCTATGATTATATTCTGAATATATAGCTAAGTTTCTGCAGTGGTATAGTAAATGAACTAGTTTTGTGTACCTAAATACTAGCTGTCTTGGCACCACCGTCCTTGAAAAATAACGAAATTTAACGGAGCAAAATGATCCAGTATAAAGATCAGTTTATTCTAGCAAATATGCAACTCAAATGTTTCTTTTTCAAAGCAGAAACGGTTTTTTTCAAATCGTGAACGTGTGCCAGGAAACATTTCACTGGATGTGTTGTCCAGATTGTACACTTCTGCAGGATTTTTCGCACAACCGTCTGGCTTAAGGGGAGAAAAATCTGCTAAGAGCAGAAACCACCAGTAGCACAAAAATTCAAGGGTAAATCAATGTGGTGAGCTTGAAAGATGTTTATAGCTCACAGCGTTGAGGAGGAGGGAGGAAACAGAAAAATATGAAGATGATGGCTGTTTCATAAGAACTGTAATTGTACAACCAAAGGGGAAAAAAACACAGTTCAAAGTACACGCACACACTGGAGCAACATGGAGTAACAAAAATATTTATGAACTTCTTTCAAATCCTGAAATGCAGCGCTGACTTTGAAGTTTTAACAAATATATAGATAGTTACTTTTCTAAGCCTTTTAAGCTTGAAGAAATATTAAAATGTACTGGAAAGTGAACAATATGTAGAACTGAAGTTGTTCTCGACTGTGGTTGAAAGTTTATTTGAGGCAAAATAATACAATTTTTTATCACTTATATATATATATCTTTTGCACAATTACATTTGTTGTTTCAGTTCAGATTATCCCACATTTGTGGAAATAATTTTAAAATCATCTCAAGCTCAGGTTTAACTGGAATCTGGAAAAGTTTGAGCTGCTATTAGTATATATTAGTATTATTTTTCTTTAAAAGCAAATGCTTCTATTGTTCTTGTTGCAGTTAACTCAAAAACAGACTTTGATGAAGAGAAGATGTTGTTCTTGTTCCTGACGGGGCTGATCTGTGATCTGATTTATATCGGGTCAAATTTCATGCTGAATGATTGTGACACACTTTATCTGTTTATGTAAAGGTTGAAGTGTCCCTGTCCTGTCACGGTCAGTCAGAGTGCTTTAACACGATACCGAGGTGTTGCTCAGGTTTTATCTCGGTGACATGTACGATTAGTCATCTTCAGTTTAAGGTTTGAGTAAAAGATGATGGTGATAAACCAGGACTGCCACTAAGTTGGTTCATATTTTGATTTTTGTTTGATTGTCAGGACTTTCAAAGCTTTTTCTCTTAGGTTTTACAGAATTACCATTATTTATAGTTTTTAAGTCATACACAGTTAATACAGCACCATCTTTTATTGGGACATTAATTTAAAATTAGCATTTTAATCTAGTTAAAATTTTCTTAAATAGTTAAATGAATTATATTACTGTTGGTAATAATTTATCAGTGAACAGTCATACATTTAATAAGAAAAAATATTGAAAACTTTGCAAAAGTAATATTGGATTGAAATGTAATGCTGATTGATGTTTGTAAGAGGTGTGAAAAAACAATATTGATTTGGGCTTTAAATTTGCTAAAATATTAAAATGTTTGTCTTTAGTGGCTCCAAAAAAGGCAAACGGCCTTATGTAATATTAATACTTGTCTTAGTATTTAAAATGCTCATTAGAAGAAACAAAACAACTACATATTTAGATTTTTGCTTGTTTCTACAAAATAAATAAATCAGCTGTATGACATGAGGTATGAGGAAACGTAGTTACAAAAATATTGACTCAATGAAGCCACATGTCTTCACAATGCTCACCACTCTGTGTTTTATCACAGAAATGATAAAATTGTTTTTAAGTTTGACACATTTTGTGATTTTCACATTTTCCGCATTGATACTGAGATGTTGATAAATTTTAAAGTGTATCTTACCCTCCTGTGAAAAGATAACTCCGCCCCAAGGCGAAATTTGAAAAATGCATCAAAGTGGGT